AAAATGAAAAGGTGAAAAGTAATTAATGCAAAACTGTTTGATTTCTGAATGTCACCCTACTACTACTGATAAATCAACGTCAATTCTAGTAGTTTGAAACAGTTGAAAATTGTATTAATTTACTTTTGTCATTTGTATGAATCTTCGAGGAAATTTGTGGTAACATTTATCCAAGTTATCGATGTAAATATTGAACGAAATATTGGGCGCATTTTTCCCCTTCGACTGCAAGGATTTGATTAGATCCGAGCATTAACGGACTCCCGTCCTCGTTTATTCCTAATCTGCATTCAAATGAGTACAAAAAGATATTCCTTCCTGCTCTCAATATTTGGTCTTTGAATGCCGCCATTGCCAGTTGTCCTTCTCCTCTCAACTGCAACGTTTGTTGTGCGTCTCAAGTGCTAACAAAGCTGTCTAGAATCTGCTCCAGCACCACCAGTAAGCCACACTACCCCTCATTGTCCACGAAGCTGTGGCAGCACTTCTCCAACCCCACAACCCACACACCCCCACACCCCCTCACACACACACGGAACCCCCCACTGTCTTCTTTCTCCAGCCGTTTACAATGTTTTGTCTTGCATTATCTGCATGTTTCTGCACAGATGCCTCTAAATGCATGACTTACCCCTCCCCTCCCCACACATCCCCACCTCTTCTGTACTTTCTGGTTATGTGGCATACCATTACAGTTGTTGCAAGTGTTTATAGAGCGGCAACCGCTGCTTGCCACCGGCAATGAAGAGACCTAAAAAGTTCCTAAGCGAAATAAATAAAGCGCCAGCCTTTATGGTAGACTTATACAGTACAGTGAAATCTGTCTTGAATGGACACACCAATGAATCCATCATTTGAGGGAACTTTCGCCGTATGAGTGAGGGGGTGAGGGGTGAGGGAGAAGGGCACACGACCAATTTGCCAGACCAAAACGTGTCGATTCGCAATAAATTGAAAACTGTGAAAATGTAAACACTTTTCGCAGAGTCCTTGACACAACACACATTCAGTGTTCACCCATCACGTCTACACTGTTCAATTTCGGTGCATAGAAATTTATTTTTATTTTTTAGAAGCGCTCCTCAAATGGTTTGCCAAGTAAAGTCTAGAGTCGGGTCAAGTCGGGTCAATAAGCGGAGTCACCATGAGTCACAGCGCAGCCAGGGAAACGGTAGGTTAAAAGAGGTTAACCGCCATGGGGAATACGCTTCCATTTGAATGTCTTTTGTATGCTGAGACAGAGTATTGTCCATACAAATTTGCTATAAAATTCCAATATTTATATTTAAAGTTTCTTTAGTATATTCCATGGTCTCAGAGTAGTTTCCGATAAAGTTAAGTTTGTTAGATTAAATTTAATTAATTCAATTTTAAATTAATTTTTTTTATCCTGTTCTATTAATGGCACATTTATGTAGTATATTTTTATAATTTCTATTTTTGAAAAATACTTAAATGAGACACTTTCCTAGGCAGCAACTGCCTGAGTATATCGATATACTACTCGTATTTGTTTTGATTTGTTTTCAGTGCATCGAAGATGTGAGGGAAAATTCCAACACCGAAGAAAACTTTGCCACGCCAGTGCGAAGTTTGCTTCACGCAATCATCATAAATTAACGAATTTCAACAAGTGGCAACAACAACAGCGCGAGTGGGAAAAGTGTGGAAATGGAAAAGAAAGCAAAGAGGTGAAAGTTTTTCTAGCAACAAGCAGCAGTACAGAAGGAGGGGGGAGTAGCCCCAATCCTCAAGCCGTTCTCTTACATGGACCTTCGTCCGTTCAAACCTGTGAATTATGTGTGCTCCCTTTTCTGTTTCTGTTGCCGATCCTAAAGCGCTGAAAGTTTGCACAAATTTGTTTGACTAAATTATAGAATTTGGTGCAAAGTTCAGCATGAAGAGATTGAGAACTAATAGATAGGAATAGGAAGCAATGGATGGCCCTGGGCCCAGGCAATGGGAATTCTCTTTCAATTAGCAGGGCCAGTAAGCGACTGCCACAGCGTGTCCTTGCCGGAGTTTCACAACCAAATTATGTTCATGCATATTTAAAATACTTAATGAATTTTATAAAACTCGACGTTGTCCGCTCGTGTTTGATGGGCTCAAGAACGAACGCCAAGGATGGGCCAGGTTGCCTGGCAGCGGCCTGGTGTGTGTGCTGCCTGTTGCTGCTTCACCACCACACCCTCATCCCACCACCACCCCACCAAGAGCTTATGGCATAATTCGTAGGTAAGCATGTTGGCTGCCTTTGCGAGTATTCCCCTACTCGTACTCGTGGAAGCAATGACAAAAATCAAGTATGTAGATGAGGCGCATTGTTTCTGGGAATATTCATACTCAAGCAACTTACACAATTTTCTGTGGAAACAAGCCACGAATGACTTACATTTAAATCAGCTGAACTGTGATAGAGCTGCTTGTGAAGCTACATTTATGAAGCAGAATAGAAGAGAACAAAATTATGGGGAAGTCCTAAAAATTTTAATAGGATTGTGAGTGAGTAGAAATTTAGATTGTATGCTGGTACAACATTTGCTTCTAGCTGTTCTCTTACATTTATTCAAAATTGCCAATGCCTTAGTGGTGACTCTTGAAGCTGCTTAGTCTGTGTTAATTTAGTTCAAACATCCACGAATGAATTACAACTAAATAAAGGGAAAGTCAGGTATACCTTCGGGCTGTGAGAATTATGTGATTTTACTTTGAAGAAGAAGCCCAGAAGAAAAGCAATTCGAAGTGCTCTACGACATTTTTGGGAATTAATTTCTCAAGTTTTTCACTTTTCCAGGGTACGTATGAGCCCAAACAATGCTCCTGGGAGCTACGCTTATATTTTCAAAACTTTCATGGGAACATATCAGATTGCTATCAGTTGATTTCATTCCTGATTGGCTGAGCAAAAGCATTGGAGACGAATACGAATTTAATAGCCCAAAAGGAATTGGTCAATTTTTCGGCTAAGTATCAGTCTTGCCACTCAGACAGCAGGAGCTTGCCCGCCCCCCGTGCAAGCTGCAAGCCACTTTAAGGGGCACTCAACAAAACTATTAAAACCAAAACTTGAATGTTCAGAGAATAGAAGCGAGAGCCAAGAACAAATATTCAGTGAGCTCGGCTATCGAGGATGAGACTGGAGGCTGGAGGCTGGTGGCCGTTGGCTGTTGCCTTTTTCTACACTGAAACACATGCAAACATTTTTAACTGCCGCCTCAACCATAAATCGAAAGCTATGCAATCTTTCTGTCATTCGGGTTCATACTTTGTTTTGTTTTGTTTTGGTTTGGTTTTTGTTGCTGTTTTTTTGTGTTGTTCTTTTTTCTGTTGGTGGCTCTCATAAAATTGTAAAAACGAAAAGCCCTCCGAATTGGGAGCAACTGCCACGCTGGCGGGCAATAAATCTAACGATAATTTGTTGCGCAGCGTTTTACGATGTTTTAGCGACAAACCTCGGGCCCCTTTCGATCCAGCCATTGGGAGGTTAATGCTCCTTACAGGGTTGTCATCGTTGTAAAATGGAGGGGCCACAGCTGGGAGCCCTAAGCCCGGAGCTCAAGCCAAGCCAATTAAATGGTACATCGGACTGTTAACTGTTGCATGTATTTAGGGGCTACGCTGGGGAGTGCTCCCTGTGCCCCAACGAGTCACAGACAATTGTAATGCTCAGACATCTTAATGTCGATTGCTGGCGCGGTAACAGTGTAATTATCATTTTACATTTGAATGGTCTTGTCTTGTTCGGTTGCTGTGGAACGGGGGAGAACTTGCACAGAAGTACCTACTGTTAGACACTTTTATTTAATGGCCCACTGCAGCTGTTACCCTCTGCGATTGCCGCTCATTGCACATTTGCAGTTGCTGCCTGAATTATGGATGCGCTCCTCCTTCAGTCTCGGCTGGCGGACTTGGTGGCGCCCGAGAATCACTCAGCACCTGCCATGCATATTTCATGATATTTCACCGCCCCCTCGCTGCACTCTGCTGTAGCCCTGTGAACGTTTAGATGGTTGCAATGGATGATTGGATCGGCATTATGCAGCTCTCTGACATGAGGCATTGAAGCCAATCAGTCGCATGCCCCGAAGAGGCTGTGGGCTGGGGGTGGCAGCTGAAAAGCATTGTCAGGTGGCAGGAAATTGCAGTGTTGCACACACGGCTGATTACCAGAAACGTTTTCCACTCTGCCAAAATTTCCATCAGCACTGGGAATAAATATTAAGTATACGACTCGTGGAGCGAGCGAATAGGGAGAAAATCCACATTGTCTTCTCACATGATAGAAAGTGGAAATGGCAGTGGCAATGAAAACGGAAAACGAAAAACGAAAAACGGAAGCTGGAGGCTGAAAACAAAAACTGTCAACTGGCATCGTTGGCAGCAATAAACAAATGAATCCTGATCAGGATTAAAGCTGGAGAGGCTTGGGGGACTGCATGGGGACTGTCTCTCCCAATCCAGTTAATGACTCTAACCAAGTGGGTGCTGGGATAAATTAAAACAATTTTATTTGATTAGAACTGGAAGAAAGTCATCGTCCTGCAACCATGTAAAGGCTTTGCCCCTGAAAGACTGAAACAAAGCAAAGCATTTGTGGCCAAAAGACGAGGGCAAAACACACTCAAGGGCCCCATAAAAATGTCATATGTGTGTGGGAGTGGAAATCATCTCGACTCTGAAGACGAAGCCGCGCGACAATCATAAGTGGCCGGCCGGACTAAGGCAAATACATAGTGGGTACATACTACATGTGGAATGAAATGAAAGATTCATGTTAATGGCTTTCAAGAGCGTAAATGGTGCGGACGGGACGGTGACTATGCAAAGTGTTGTGTGCTTGTTGGCCACAAATAGAGGAAGGACCTGGGACACTTGACACTTGCCCATAAATAATAAATTGGGCAGAGATTACAAGTGAAGTGCCAGCAAATACGATAAGGTTACGTTACAATTACAAGCAGTGGCAAGTGGCACAACAAGCTCATCAAATCACTCACCTCCTGCTGCAACGATCTTTGGACCTGGGGACTCTATGGATTCCACTGAGGCGTTGGCACTTTCAAATCTTTAACTGAAATTTCACGTCGCTACGGCGCCTGACTCCGTGTGTGACTGGTGCGCGTATCTTTCGATTCGGCGAGCGACAGCGACCTGCCACAAGGCGAGAAAAAAGTGAACTAAAGGCGGCGCCGCCTGATGCTGCACGCACGAGGGCCACGAGGACGACGCCGCTACCCGATGACTGCCAGCCGAATCGAAAGCCAGAAAGCAGAGTCAGTCGGGCACAGTGGTGGTACAATGGACAAGCAGTTTGGGGGCAATCTGACGCACGCCCCTTCTTTGACTGTGGCAGGCTGACTCGGTCGGCACACAGTCGAGGCGCGAATTGTGTGGCAGGTTAGAGGCAGCAGCAGCAACAGATTTCACACATTCTATCTGTAAAATATGACAGCTAATCGAAAGTAAATACCTTGAAACAAGCACATTGAAACGCTAGTATATTAAGCAGTGCTAGTAGATTAAGCAGTGCTAGTATATTAAGCAGAATCAATCAACTGCTTTTTACATTGTTTTCTCTTTCTCTCTCTCTCTATGACTGCCAAATATCACTCTCGCTCTAGTCCCGCTGTGACAAAGCTTTGACGGAAGTGTAGCTGTAGCTGCTATTTTTTTTTTGTGGAAAGAAAACGTACAGGTTGGGTAGTAACAGATTTCTGTGTTCCACAGAACTCGGCAGACATGCTCCTTCCTCTGGCAGGCTTCCCCTTTTTGCGTGCCACCACTGTGACTTAGTGCGAGCTTGAGGCCTTCTTTGGGTCAGGGCCACCATGCCATGCCCACAGAGTGCTCTGCCCGGGACACATATTCCGGCCAATTACCCCAACATCTTCCAATGGCAGGTGGCAGCTCATTGAGCCTGCTCCATCAGTTTCACCCCCCAAGCCCCCCCACCAGCGACTCCCGATAGTTTCCGATGGCTTCGCATCGGTGCCGTTGCCATGTGTGCAGCTACCAGTGTTTTTTTTTGTCTCAGTTGACACTGTGTCAACGTTCAAGCGACGACCGGGCTGAACCCAATTTGCACCTGGACCTGGACCTGGACATGCAAAGTCAGCAAAGTCGCATACGAGTATGCGAGCATGTGTCTGTACAAAGGACACGTTGACAGGTTGGGCAGGCCCTGTCCTTGCTGTTGTTATTGGCTGTTTATGCATGCAACAGGGCGAATGCGGGCTGGCTAATTGGCCAGCGGAGTCGTGCGATGAGGTCGATCGGTCGGTCACAGCAACAAGTGACGCTAAAACTGTGAACTGTGAAGGAAAATCGTTGCAACACTACAGCGACATACAGTTTGACAATTTAAAATGAATGTTTTCTTATTTATTCTAAATTTAATTAATACTCGTATTTATTCTCTGGTTTCTCTTGCTCAAACGATGTACTCACGGGTTGTTAGGGATTTCGATTTTTCCCTCTTCAAATTTAAATGTTAAAATTATGTTTTAAGTCTGAGTTTGTTATTGAATAAAAATTAAATAAAGGAAAAAAGTTTCGTTTCATTTCATTCATTGGTTTTCTTTCAATCGATCTTTTGCATGAAGAAGAGTCGAGTCGGAGCGAGAAAGTGCGAGTGAGTTAGTCATGGCAGCTGCCTTCTCGATGGGCTCCGCTACTGTGGTACAGTTTGCTACAGTTCGGCCGGAGGTTAAGGCACCAGCATACAGTAAACTCTTTACCATTTTTGGTGTTGGACTCTCATATCTATTGCTGTCAATGCGATATTTAATTTAAGTGCAAAGCTGCTTGTCATCCGCTGTTTTCTCAACACTTTCCTGTGTGTTTCGGCCACATTTTTTTTGCAACACTCTGCATGGCCAGCGCTTGTTGCGCTTCTGCCAAATAATAAACGCAAAAAACAAACCAAAACAAAAACAATTTAATTGGCGCAGCACTTGCTGCCCGCTGGCACATTGTGGAAATTGTTTTTGTTCGTCTGGGAACTTTCTTTCCCCAAAAAGACGAAGAAATGGAAGCGACACCCACACTCCCATTGGCATACAAATGAAGAGTAATAGTTGTCCATGCCACTTCCGCTGCCACTGCCACTGCCAGAAACACCTCGCGTGTAAAATAAGTAAGGTGATGTGAAAAATAAAAGCTATTAAATATTTTAAATTAATATTGTGATAATTGTCGTATAATCGCCACGGCTGATGCTAACCCCTCCTAAATTCAGGAGGTCAAGACAAGACCCGAGGACCACGAAGCGAAGCTTGAGGCACTTGACACGCAGAATATAGATGGCCTTTTGGCTCTTGTCGGAGAAACGAAGATTGTCAGGATTCCAGCGCATTTCGAGACGCTACAGGTTTGCCGCAGTTGGATGCGATGGTGATGGTGTATATAAGCAGATCTTTGAGGACTCGCTCTCGCTCTTACGATCCACTTATGATCCACACACTAAACTCTCGTCAGGCTTGGAAGCCAAGCAAGAAGGAAATGAGGTTGCAAAAGATTAAAAAAATTAACGTTGTTTCTATGGTTTATTTTTCATTATAGGTTTTACAGCTAACACATTTTCATTTTCATTTTCAATTTCAATTTCATTTGTTGCTTCTGCTCGTTGGCAAAGATTTGACTGCTTTCTTTTTGTTACTTGTTACTTGTCCGTTACTTTCTGCTGTTGTATATGACTTTTTTTTAATTTAATCGTAGGTTGTTTATATATTTGATTCGCTAAAACTCAATTAAAAATGTATTCTGCCGACCCTTGTGTTTGTTCGCACAATTCGTGTGTAATTTTGTTTAGGCCATTGATTAGTGGTAATAATTATACGCAAGAAAGTGTTGCAAAAGTTGGATATAGTGGAGTGGTTATACATACAATATAAGTAGTTCTGTTCTTCTAATTAAACATTGTACGTATACATACATACTCGTGCGTAGTCGTACATACAGCCATATACATATGTATGTATGTATGTATGTACATAGTATGTATGTATATTGATCATCTGAATCTCTGTATTCGTTATCAGCTTCGCATCGCATCGCTATACATTTCTTATCGCTTCCTTTCTCCCTCCCTCTCTCTCTCTCTCTCTGACTTCTCGTTCCTCTTTTCCTTTCGTGTTTTTGTTTTGTTGTTAGGAATCACAGTATTGTGCAAATGACCTTTTTATTTTTAAGTGGTACAAAAACTCTTTCTTGAAGCGGCATACATACATATGTACATATGTTGAATGTACACATGTATCATGCGTATGTACGCGGCTATGTAAATGCAAATGCAATTGTAAATGTAATGTAAAATAGAACCCGACACAGGCAGTGCAGTTTTTGGTGTGTGGTTTAGTTCTCACCACCCTCCACCCCCGTTTACCCACTCGTTGGTGGGTAACGAGGGCCTGGGTTCGCTTGGATATCGATCTGGAAGGATCGATATCGAACGATTCCATCCCACCTATGAACACTTTGTCTTTTTTTTTTATTTGGAAACAAGAGGAATTATTTTCTTGGCTTTGACTTTGACTTTTGCTATTGACTATTTTGAGTTTTCATTTTGGGAAATCACAATATCTATGCAAAATCTTATACATCTCTCTATATATTGTATATATATATATATGTATGTATATATATATCGCTTTGTCGTGAACATTAGATTTAGATCGTTGTCCTTAATACATGTAAATATATATTCATATATCCATATAAATATGTATACATATGTATGTATGTATGTACGTGTATATAGCATATTTGTTTGTATGTATTTTATTATTTAGCTTTCTTCCACAGCTCTATCTCTCCTCTTTCCTTTCTTTCGGTATTTCAGCGTGGTTGTGGTGTGTGTGTGTGTGTGTGTGTGTGGGTCTGTGGGTGTGTGTGAGCTTTTTCGGCTGCAACGGTGTAACTAGAGATGTGGTGCAGCGTGTAACGGGCCAGGTTCCCTGTCTCCTCACTGCTTTATTCCCCTACTTTGCTGCGGAGAACCGATCGATCGTCAGCTATCTCAATCGTTGGGATATGCGTGGTGCAGGGTAATAGTGGGCAACGTTTCTTCCGTCCCTCAGTTTTTGTTTGTGATTATTTGGGGGGGAGAGCGGAAACTAGTTTATTGGTCTCACTGAGTATATTCCAGTGGGGGTCGGGCTAAGAATGGGGTATTCGGCTGAAAACTATGCTCAAGCAGGGGGTTATACGATTTCATTAGTAGAGTTCCATAGATAGCTAATTGAAGTAACAGCAAACAGAATGCAGTGCCCGAAATACGATTAATCAAACTACACATATGCAAAATGTATGTAAGTACTCGTTATTCTCAAACTCATTTACTCGCCACTCGTCATTATATTCCATTCCATTCCGTTCCATCCCATTTCTATGCTCTCTTTCCTTCGTTATTCATTTCTTTAAATCTAATGCAAAATTTTACTAAGCAACCCTGTATGTTTATTAAAGACCAAATAAAAATGCTTACATATATCCCACCTAATAATGTACATATCGAGTTGTTCATACATATCTCTGGAGTAGGCAGTCCAGTTAAAATATATGTAAATAGCTAAACCGAATATACATACATATGTATGTATGTAAGTAAGTCAATGCGCAGGTAGGTTTGCACACCAAAAAATACAAAAATATGAAGACGTCCAGGTTCATAGCCAATGCCAATTATAGGTTACTCCTCAAGCGGGCATACAAAATTGTAAATTGAGATTTAAATTAATGAAAAGTTGATCAAAGAACAGAAAAAGAAATTGTTGATGTTGTTGTGTTTTATTGTGTTTGTTTTTTCTTGTTTTCCAGTTTTAGATTCTAATGCCACTTTGTGTGTGTGTGTTTAGTTAAAAAAAAAGGTTTAATTATTATTACAGATCTGGATTTTGTGTTTACGTTTACGTTTACGTTTACCAGGAATGCAAAATCAGTAATTACATTGCGATTTATCAACATAAAAATAACCCAATAGTCCACGCACTAAATATTGGGCAGCATACCGATTTGCATTGCATCATGCACTCATAAGTATAAGGTATACATACATATAACTGACTGATCAGGAGCACAGAGTCAGTCAACTAATTTGTTAATTAACTAATTGCTTTACTTAAATAATTAATGGACAAATGATGAAGGGTTTTCGTTTCGTTTCAATATTACACACAATTTGTCATTACGCTATGGACGAAAATCAGAAACTTATACGATATTCAAATTGCCAGCGAAAGGAATGTTTTTTCTTTTATTTTCTTTTCTGTGATGGGGTCCCCAGGGAGCAGACACTCTTTGCCGTTGGTCTTTGCAACCTTGATCTACAAATCTGATCTGAACAAAGCCCAACAATTTGGGGGTACTAAATGGCTAGCGTGGCTGCTCTCTGCCTCCGAAGTCTTTTTGTTGTTTGAAAGTAACCATAATCCGTACTCAGGCTGGAAATTTTACTTGCTGAACACATCAATTCTGTTGGTTATACATAAGTATCGGTACAGTACAAATTATTGTAAAAATAGTAGAATTTGAACAAGGCAAATGGGTAGACAGCTGACAGGTCTCAATGGATCCATCCATCCATACACATGTGTATAGTAGGATTGGCAATGGGCTCCACAATTCAGTCAATCATTTGTTTTTTTGTACGTTTATAAACTTGCTAATTAGTTTTGATATCTGTCGCTGCTAGCCGGATGTACCGGTTCGCCTTGTCTTTGGTTTGGTTACAAAATTTGACTCATTTTCCATATAGTCCGCTGATGTACGCGGTTCTTCGTTATACATACATATTCTCGCAAAAAAAAAAAGAATGGTTCCCGACAGGCATCACCTCAAATGGTTTTCCCTTCATTAACTTTTATATATTTTGTTGTTTGTTCATCTAATTGTGTTTTTAGCTTACATATATAAAAAATTGTATTGTAATTGTTTTGTTCTTCTTTGTTTTTATAGTTTGGAAAAGGCGTTAGCTGTTTGCTAAAATACGTATTAAATAAGCCAAAGGAAGCAAAATCAAATGCTTTAAATTCTTGCCAACTCTTCTCATTACATTTTTTGTTGTTGTTTTTTTTTCGTTTTTGTTTGTTTTTTTTTTTTAATATAATTTTTGGTTTTCTTAAGTTTTTTTTTTTTTGCAGACACTTAAAGCAGTTTTCGTTTTACACATACAATTACAAAAAGGTTTTGGGGCGTAGAATAATTTGAAGAAAATCAAGAACTCAAAGGAAATCCATCCAGCTCCAGGAACGCCTCTCAGACGTAGGTGGCTACCGCGGCAGTGTTGGTCGAACCAGTTCCTCCATTGCTGGCTCCTGTCCCAGCACCAGCACCAGCTCCAGCTCCTCCTGCTCCCGATGCCAATCCAGCTGCTGTTGCTGCTGCGGCGGCGGCACTTGTCTGGGCCGGCGAGGCTGAGCTGTTGAGCGGCTGTGGACTGACTGGCGGCTGTAGCTTCCCGGGCACGTACTGGCCTATAAAGGAGCCATCCTCAGTGAATTGACCTGCGGCGATAGAATAATCCAGATAATTTATATATTACTTTAGCTGTGAGTAAATCACTAATTCCAAGTACACATATTTATAAATAATATTATAGACCATGTTAACCTCAACCCCAACCAAAGCAGCACCACAACACCGCGTGAGAGTTTCGATTAGTTTGTATTAGAAATTTATATTTATGGATTATGGATTATTATTATTTTATTTAGCATAGTCCCTGTTCCTGGATGTGAGTAGGTGGATGTGAGGGACAAGGGTGGGCTCCGTTAGTCTGGAATTTGTTAAACTACAATTACTTTGGGGGGTACTATGGGGGTTCTATGTACATATCTACGTATCTACTATAAGCATTGGCATAATAAGTAAATTATAATAAAAATGCTTGTAAGAATACAAAAACTTTACCTTACGGATTTGTCAGCTACAAATGAAGACACGAGTAAACCAACACATAAAGAAAAAGAATAAACTAATTATAATTCTTACAAGACGTTATAACTGTCGAGTTGATGTTTTCATCGGTTAATGCCAGCCATAAGATATACATACGTATATAGCTTGACGATCTATAAGACTTACGAGGTTCGCTACATAATACTTATGGTCATTTATGTCAAAAAATACATACTACTCGTACGTACATAAATGTGAAGGATACTTTACGATTGGGAAAAGGGTTTCTTGTTTCGTTGATTATTATTCATTCAGTTTTCTTTATTTTGTTTGTTGTTCTTTCTAATTTAATATACATATATAAAAAATTATAATTCCATACAATTATGTAGTGTATTCGTCATCCATTCATTAATATTAAATAGCTCTACTACACAGAAAAAAACATTTATTTGTAATTCTTCTTCGATTCTTTCTTTTTTCCAAAAAACAAACGCAAAGGAAACATTTTTACATTTTACAACACTATTTCACTGTGAAAAATGAAGTACAAACGAGATAAAAAAAAATATAGAGCAATAGAATAAACAAAATGTTACACAAATTATAAAATAAAAACAAAATACAAAGTAAGATAATGCAAAATAAACATCTACGCAAAAATGTTTTGTTTTTTGCTTCTTGTTTGTTTGTTTGTTTGTTATTGTTGTGGTCTCAAGGAGGGAGCTAAACGGAGATTTTACATTAACTGTTTATAGTATAAAAAAATATTAAATTAAAACTTATTTACGCTTTATATTTCTATATATATATGCATTACATGTAAGAGAGCGAGACATAGATATACAGCTGCATACGGTGAGTGCATGGGACACAGTGGAACAGAAAGAGACACCCAAAAGAGAGCAGGGGCAGGTGCAGGTGCTAAGAGAGCGATTCAAATCGATTGAAGATCGATTGGCAAATATATGGTAGCATACAAAATGAGTTTTATCGGTGGCCTCGGATTCGCATATCAGTATATATTATTTTTTATTTTTTGCTTTCTTGCTCTTTCCCTCTGCCTCAATGTTCCTCGAGAGCGCGCTCTCCTGTTGGCCCAAATTATTACATGTTTATATTGCTGCTCTGCTCTGCTCTTTCGATTCGATTTTGATTCTTTTTCCGTAACTTTCATTGCTACTTCTTCCACTTCTTCTTATTATTCTTTGTCATGTTTGTTTGTTTTTGTTTTTGTTTTTGTTTCGTTTAAATAGCCTTTTGCTGCATCGATCGTCATCGCCGTTGTTGTATTTGCCGTTGCGGTTGCTTTTGCTGTTTCTGTTTCTGTTGCTTTGATTTCTTCCGTTCGTTTGGCAGTAGAATTTGCTTTGCTTTTTACACTTGTTAACTTTAATATTAAATATATAAAAGTTTGATTTATATATCTATATATATACTATTTAAATTTCCACGTCCTTTCGCACTTCGTTCAAAGTGAAACGATGGTCTCTAGAATTTAGTTGTGGTTCTTGGGCGCTGATCTTGTTCATTTTTGGGGCTTTGTTTTGTGGTGTGTTTAGTGTTGATGTGTGTGTGTGTGTGTGTGTGTGTGGTGTGTGTGTGATTGTGGGTGGTGTTTGGAGGTGGGTTTCGGGCTCGTTTAGGTTTCGGTTTGGCTGCCGTGCTGCTTGGTGTGGCGCCGCTGCTTACAAATTAAATCAAAGCCCCTTGCGTCCATATTGGCCGATAAAGGATCCGTCTTCATTCATGCCTGGATATTGTTTGTTGTTCATACATATTCATATTCATATTCAAACATTTTCGTGAGTGTTTGTGTTTGGTGTAAAAAGGAAAGTAAGAGAAAGAATGATACATATAAAATAAAATACAAATTAAATTAAATCAAATAAGTATGGTGCAATTCCAGATATACATAATATATATATATATAAAGGCATAAAAGAAACATTTAACAGAAACACACAAAAAACATTAAACAAACTTTAGCGACTGGAATGGATGGATGATGCTCCGGAATGAAATGGATTGCAATTGGAGTGGAGTGGAGTGGATCAGCAGCTGTGGCCAAGCCAGATGCCAAATGGGTACATGGGTACATGGGTACATGGGTACATGGGTTGGTGTTTCAGTGGGGAGCAGAGCTTTTAACAGGTTGCGGCTGCCCTGCGCGAGCAGAGTTAGTATTAAAAAAAAGAGAGCAAACGAAAACAACAGCGTGCAAGGGCAAAAGGATCAATGGAGATGCAGCGCGTAACTGTCCCTCGCTCTCTTCTGCTCGGCTCAGTGCATTCCAAAGAGAGAGCGAGCGAGCGAGCAAGCGGTTAAAGTTGGAACGGCGGAATGGGAGAGCCTGTCTTTCTCCTATCTGTGTGACGAAAGCGCAGCAAGCAGCAAACAGCCAGCCGCAATGAGAACAGAGAACTTTAAACACACACAAAAATTACGAGCAAGGGGGCCCTTGGAGGGCTCTTCTGACCTGACAGATTGACGGACTGGTGAATGACGACGACGCGGCCGCAACGGGTAGGAGCACAATGAGACAACGACAATGAGTCGAAAATGGGTAGAGAGCGAAAGGACTCTCTTAGACTTTGCGCGTTACGCCACCGCTGGCTATGCAGTGGTCGTAGGACGGTGGTGGTGGTGCTGGGGACGAGTGTGGCGACGGTGGCAACGTTGGCAACGTTGGCAACGGCAGCGATGGCTGGAACGATATCGACGCCGATGGCTGCTGCTGCTGCAGTGACTGCAAATTTTTGCTGCCTCCCTTGCGGGCAGCGGCGGCGGCATGGGCGGCAGCGGTGGCCACAGCTGCATAACCACAGTGAACCACAGTATCATCATCATCATCAACATCAACATCCCACATCAATCAAATCAAATTAAAATCGTTGTAAAGAAATCAAGGCCATGGAGTAGCCAATGAGAACAAACAAAAAAAAAAGAGTCAAGATGATGTTGGGGTTGTACGGGGGGATAGCCCTAGAACGGTGCCGTTCCCATGCTTGCTATATATTCAGAAAACTGAAAAATCGTTTGCAGCCCGTGGGCAAGGCCTCCCTCCTCCCTTAGGCTGTGGCTGCTTCTATGCTTTTCCATGGCATGTTTTGTTTTTGTTTTAAGTAATCTTTGAAATGTTTCTTTGCAGCAATACGGTTCCGTTCTAGGCTTAAGATGTGAAGGAGGACAAGGAGGAGGTACAAAGGATGTACACAGGTACAATGTATGTGTGTGTGTATTTATGTATGTATGTAGATGGCAAGGGGAATGGGGTGAACGGGGGGAAGGAATCGGAATCGAATCGACTAACCTGTATCGCCATCGCCGTACTCGGCCATTGAATCGGTGTCGCTCTCCACGCCGGGCTTGTTCGCTGAACTAACGGATTGGCGACCAGCGCTCTTGTTATCCAAACTGCAACACAGGATATAGGTTATTAATCGAAAGTGAAAGATTGGTAGCTGGACCCTCTCTTACGGTTGCGAGTACTCGTGGAAACCTCCTTCGTCGGGATAGTCGCGCCTTCCGTTGGCCAGTTCCCGGTCGTGTACATCGTACTTGCCGCCTCGATTGCGACGTATGATGCAGATGACAATGAACAGAATGATGATGATGGCCAGGGCCAGCATCATGCCAATGAACCAGCCGGCATTGGCCACCGTCTCGTTGGGCACCATAATCGGCCCCTCTACGCTATTCGTGTCTATCTCCTGCGTGGCGCTCTCCGTGTAGTAGTGGCCATCGACGGACACCACTCGGAACTCGTAGGCGGTATCCGGGCTCAATCCAATCTCCTGATAGGTGGTCATTTTCTCCTCCTTTGTGTCGGACCATTGCGTCTCACCCTTGACCCTGCCAGAGCGAATGGAGACGTGTGTTTAGAAGAGAGAGAGACACACAAGAGAGAGAGAGAGAGGGACGGAGTAGTTTACCTGTACTTGGTGAAGAAGTGGGTTCCCGCGTGTCCCTCGGTGTTCGGCTGCCAGTTGATGCGGAACTTGGCCTGGCCATTGTTCGATGGCAGCTGCTCCCAGGCGAAGCTGGGCGTAGCTGGTGCCAGATTGCCCTCGCCCAGAGTACGCTTCTCGATGTAGTGCCTGCAGGGGGAATTAATAAATTAAATGAAGTGTTTACTTTCAAGAGCGGGGGGCACACTCACTCAGTTCCTTCGCCCATCTTGGTGGTGGCCGTAATGGAGATGCGATACTTGGTGTCGGGCTTCAGGCCCGCCATTTTGGTGCCCGTGATCCTCGGATCGGTGATATGCGGATCGTACTCGCGTCGCTCGCCGACGAAGCTGTTCTGGACCTCCTCGTAGTAGATTTTGTAGCCGGTGAGCTTGCCGTTCGGGTGCAGCGGCTTCTTCCAGGTGACCCAGAAGGCGGAGGAGCCCAGCGGATGGGCATCCAGCGACTGCACCGGCGAGGGGACACCCTCGGGCGTATCGAAATCGATGATGGCACTGGGCGGACCGTTGAAGCGTCCGTTGTAGGCCAGTATGCGGGCAAAGTTCTTCGAGTCCGGCTTGAACTGTGTGACCAGAGCCGTGTCCGTGTCGCCCTTAACGTGTATCTCGCGCAGCCCCTCCTCGCCCTCGTTCTCGGTCCACGTCTGGATCTTGTAGCCCTTGAAGTGGCCGCGCACGGACTCCTCGCTGACGGGGGTCCAGGCCAGATAGGCGCTCGTCGCTGTCGTTATCTGTCGCATCGTAAAGTTGGTCGGCGCGTCCTGCGGCCGGTCCTCGCCCGAGTAGCCGATCACCTCCTCGGCGGCGACATTCGACTCGCCGCGCTCGTTGATGGCCACCACCTTGATGTGGTACTTGACGAAGGTCGGCTGGTCGGTGATCACGATGTTGTTCTGGTGCCACTCGTTGATGTCCTTGTTCTCCCAGGCGGCGGCGGGTATGTCCCGCTTCCAGCTAACGCGATACTGGAACTTGGGCGCATTGTGCTCGATCTCCGGCATGGGGGTCCACGAGATGACCAGGTTGTTGGGCTCCGTGCCCTGGCCGACCACATTGTCTGGGTTCTTGAAGGGCACGTCCGGCTGGTTGGTGCACGAATCGCTGTGCTCGGACGGCTGCGAGGCGCCGATCTTGTTGAAGGCGATCACGCGGAACGTGTAGTTGGCCCACGGCGACATCTGCACGACAAAGGAGAAGTCCGTGTTGGGCACCTTCTCGAAGGCCGTGTCCCACGAGGCCGGTGTGAACGAGGTGTTGAACTGGATCGTATAGTGGAGAATGGGCGAGCGGTTGTCGCCCTGCGGCTCCCACATGATCTCCGCCTTGTCCGCCTGGCAGTTGATGCCCGTCAGCTTGGGGGCGTTCGGCACATCCTGGACGATGAGGTTCGCCTTGGCGGCGGCCTCGTCCAGTCGGGTGCGTGCCACACACGTGTACTCGCCGGAGTCCAGCTCCATTGTCTTGGCAATCGTCAGGCTGTTGTCGTTGGTCTTCACGAAGCGTGGCTGCGCCTCAAAGTCGATGGACTGCCCGTCCTTCCACCAGTCGATCTCGATCTCCAGATTGCCATCGTGCGCCTCGTTGCAGCGGAACGTGGCCGACTGGCCGGCGGCCACCTCGTAGTTCTGCGGCTCCTGTGTGATCCGCGTGTGCTCCATCACCGTCAGCGAGCCTTCGGCGGACTTGTTGCCGAATTTGTTCTCCGCATAGCAGGTGTACTGTCCGGCGTCCGAGAAGGTCACGTCGAGGATCTGCAGATCCCCACTGCCCTGCACGATGTAGCGTCCGCCGGTCAGCCAGTTGGTGGCGCGCAGCCACCTCACCTGCGGCTTGGGGGCGCCGGTCACGCGACAGCGCAGCGTCACGTTGCGTCCGTCGACGGTGGAGAGGGCGGTCGGCGGCTCCTCGATCTCTGGGGGCAGGGCCTGCACGTTGAGGAAGACATCCTTGTAGACGTAGCCGAGCGAGTTGGTGGCATTGCAGCCGTAGTTGCCGGTGTCGCTCTTCAGCAGATTCACGATGCGAATGGTGTTGTCGGTGACGGTGCGCCTCGGATTGGGCGCGCTCTGCTCGATGGGCTTGCCGTTGTGGATCCAGCTGATCTTGGGCTCGGGGAAGCCGGCTGCCTCGCACTGGAACACCACCTCCTCGTCCTCGGCGGCCGTCTTGAAGTCGGGCTCCACGGTGAAGTACGGTATGGCGTTCACCTCCAGGATGATGGAGAAGGACTGCGCATTGCCCACGCCGTTCGACACGTCGCAGGTGTAGGTGCCGTTGTCATCGAAGTTCGTCTGCCGTATGATCAGCGACTTGCCGTAGTGGCCCTGCGTGATGCGGTCGCTCCACTGTATCCGGTGTCCGTCCTTGCTCCACACGGTCTGGGGTAGCGGCGTGCCGCCGTATATGCAGTACAGCTCCATGCGCTTGCCGCGCAACGCGAGCGACTGCCGCCGTGAGACATACTGCCGGATCGGCTGGTGCTTGTTCTGGGAGGCGCTGACGCCCATCTGCTTCACGTCCAGCAGCACCTTGTTGCCGATCTTGTACTCGCTGCGGAACACGGAGGTCGCCGAGCAGGCATAGTAGAAGTCGTCGCTGGCATCGTCGCGGGTCACGTTCGAGAACCAGAGGTTGCCCTCCGGATCGAGGGTCATGCGCGAGTTGTTGATCGACTTGATGCTGCCGTCGATGGACTGCTGCATCATCCAGTTGACCGTCGGACTGGGAAAGCCGTCAGGCGCCGCACACTTCAGCAAGAAGGGCTCGCCCTCCACCGCCTCCACGGTCTTGGCTGCCTCGTCCTTGAACGCATTCAGCTCCGCCTTCCGCACGTACACCGAGTTCGAGGTGGCCGTGCCGAACTCGTTCGATGCAAAGCACTGATAGTGGCCCCGGTCCTCGTCCTTCGGCGAGGTGATCACCAGTGTGCCGCGTCCCGGCTGCCGCAGCATTCGGTCGTCGTACGCCTGCCAGTCGAACTTCTTGCCGTTCTTTATCCATGAGTAACTGAAATGAGTTGAAGCGAAATGAAATGTTAAGTTCAGAGTTACATGTGTGCTCAGCCTCAAAGTTTCATGCGAACATTGATCAAGTCTAGAGGACATTCCCCATCCTGCATGCGCAAGTCGCTACGCAGCCATTTCCATCAGTGGTCGGCACGCGCACATTCACATGTTTTGCAGCTGCCACTGCAATACACAGCCCTGTAATGCAGCCCTGAACCAGAACGAGAACGAGAAACGCCAGCCCAAAAATCGGTCTCTCTCCCTCCCATAAGTATTTCTGAGTTAAATGACGGCACGTATGGGTGGACTGTGGCTTAATATTAAATCTACAGATTGTCTGCTCCATTGAGGCGATGGGTGGGCTATTCGGTCTATTGCCCAGCGAGACATGCATAATCAACAAATTTAACTAAGATTAAGTGAATTTATCCACATACTATACATACTTATTTATATATATATATATGTACATATGTATGTATGTATGTATCTTTATGTAATAGACTTTAAGTGAAACTTTAAATATTAGAAATGTTGCCAAGCAGTGTGTTTCATTCCAGACTGGCATGGAATGGAATGGAATTGGAATTGAAATTGGAGTGCAGTGATTCACCTACTGTACGTAATCCCGTTAATTGTTCCTTTTGGGATTGACCAATTGGAGCTTTGCTTTGCCGTTCCCCTGCCGCCTCCCCGTTTCCTGGACTGCCATCAGAGGCGAGAGCCGCCTCTTAAGCATTTAACAAGTTGCCTTACGGTTTTCCACATTTAATTTCGCTTAATCAACATTGCTCGTGAGTGAAGTGGAGTGGAGCGGAGTGGAGTGAATGAAAATTAAGACATTTTATGCACAAATTATGACAACTTAATTTGCTTCATATCCAATTGCGAAAAATGTCGATTGAAGTGAGACGCGCTGCTGTGGGAGTCGGGGGGGAGGAACGGGATAGACATAGACCCAGGGGGGTGGGCTGCTTGGGCAGTCTCTTGTTTTTTCCATCTTATTTCTCGAGTCGAGTCGCGTCGAGTCTCGAGTAATTGCAATTAAGCGGCAAAAGGAAGTCAACGCCAGAAGAGCGCCAGCTCAAGTTTTCTCCCTCTCTCTCTCTCTCTCTCTCTCTGGTGTGTAAGCCTGTGCCCGACTTTTGTATACATATATCTACATATTTATATATACATATGTATGCAGTACCAGCGGACGAACTGGACTACTTGCCGCTTGAGCTTGTTAAACATTGAAGCAACTTTTTTTTTTTTTTTTTTTTACATTTTTCAGTCTTGAGTCATTGCTCCCCCTGCCCAGCCCCAACCCCTTTTGGTTGGATCTTTTCGGGTTCGGGTTCACTCTGGACTACAGGTCACGCAATAGGTCAATCATTTGAATTGTTTTTAAGTGTTGCTGCAAGTTGAAACTGCCAAGAGAAACGGAGAAACGGAGCAGCCGAGCAACTGGCTGGAGTGCTGCTGGAGTGCTGCAGTGGAACAGGAGGAGCATGGGGCAGCTATGGAAATGGACCGACTGGCGTGCAGTTTGTTGAACTGAACTCAGAGGTAACTTTTTGCAATTGGCTTGGCCAGCAGCCGCAACTGGGGGTATCTGCGCCCCACCCCCTGGTATCAATACACAATACACGAGTATACATATGTACTCCAATTATCTTACTTATCCATCAGTATTAAATCTCAGAGTTTTGAGTGGTGCTGCGAGTGACTGCACCTTCGACTTGTGACTTTCCGTGGCAGGTCACAAGGCAGCTGCTTATCGGCCACTATCCATCCGCATTCACAATCATGTACATATATCCACGTTGCATCAACGGTTCCCCAGGACTCATGTTTCAAATGCAACATTAGCAGCCCACCCGACAGCCGCTGCTTAGCCCTCGACTTGACCCCTGACCCTCCCCACTCCCCAAGTCTTGACCAGCAGCAGCAGCAGCACTACTACTTGGACAAGTCAATAAATTTCTGGCTAAATGGCATTCTGGCAGTTAAGCAGTCGAGCAGTCAGGCAGTCAGGCAGGAAGGCGTCGGTGTCGGTGTCGGCGTCTGCCCTCCCTCGGCAGACCGTTATCGAAGGCAGTCAAGCGGTCATCTGAAACAGTTAGTCCAGACAACAGCTGCTCCGCACCCTCAATCTTATCTCTCCACTCCCGCCCTTAGCCTTCGCCCTTTCCTTTCTTTCGTGTTTCGGTCGTCGTAGCCTGCCGTCTCATCATTCATAGACTGATCGATCCCACTGCAGCAACTGTTGGTGCTGTCTTGTCCGGTTCCCTAATTGAAAGATGACTAGCTGGAAACGATAATTGAAATTACTACGGAGCGATCGCACCCAAAAAGAATTAGCTGAAAGCAGTTTTGCAAGCAGTGGCTGTACATTTCGTAATTGACTCGCTCACTCCGGTAGAGGGCGACACTCCACGAGAATTGCAGGGGAATCCGGGTGCCATGGGCAATGGGTGCTTGCATCTAATCTTATTCAATCATTCTCTGTGAGTCTGCGTCTTTTATTATCTGTATATATAGTACTTCCATCTGACTGATCCACGGATCTAATATACCCCCACACTCTTTGAGTACAGGGTATAAAACGAATTTCTTATGGAAATTGTGAGTACATACTGTACGAGAGTATATGCAGCAAGAAGGGGCAGCAGAACAAGCCTGATGAATCATCAGGAACACGGAGAGATTGGGAGAGAGAGAGAGGAGTGGAGTGGAGTGGAGAGCAGGGCAGGGGAGACGGAGTACTTTTTACATATTAGGAAGGAGGGAGGGGGGGTCTGTGGGGTCTAAGAGCTCTCAGGACTGGGGAGGTTGGTTCCCACATTATATTTTTGGGGGTTGGAAAGCAGGAAAATGCCATAGCATACTTTTTAGCGTTGAGCGTTGAGCGTTGCCCTGCTCGGAGGCTCGGTGGCTCGGTGGACACACCCACGCGGCGTCCTATGCCCTAACCCAGTTATACATATATACACATGCACACATGGCTGTGTACATACATGCATACACATAAAATAAAAGAGAAGCAAAGCCAAAGCCGCATTTAGCCAAGAGAGAGTAGAGAGGAGCAGACGGAGCAGACAAAAGTTAAACAAAAGGAGCAGAGACTGCCCGAATCGGGGGGAATCAGCATGGAAGGGTGGAGGCTTCCCTCTGACTCACACGATTTCATCATTAGGCTACATATGAATGTGCGCCGTTCCCCGAGGTTCCAACAGGTTGGTTCCACCACATCCTGATCCCATATAGATATTCCCGGTAGCAGTCTCTCAGACTACAGACTGTCCTTCGATCGCTCCTCTCATTCTCTCTCTCTCTCTCTGTCTCTGTCTCTGTTCATTTTCTCTCAAATATCCGGTACTCCAGTACTGTCCCTTATCTAGAGATCCTTCAAACGTTTAGACAGACATTTACCCCACTTTTTGTTGTTTGTTTCAGTGGCATTTTGCGGTCTGGTCGGTCGACAGTCAAATGCCAAAAACTTAAAATGGCTCCTGCACCGCCCCCGCCCCACCCCGTCTGCAAGTGGAGTGGGAGAGTGGGCGACTAAACTGCCAACGGCCATGTGCTGTGGGAGGGGGCAGGGGCCAGGGGGGACAGTGGCATTCACAAGGGTTGGCCCATTGGCTAATACAACCACCAAGCTCTGAGTAACGGACCAACTCTTGAGTGGGGAGAGGAAGAGGAACAGCAGAAAGCTTTTTTCGGCAACTGTTTCCCAAAAAGAGAAAGAAAGGGGGGAGGGGAGGGGAGGGGCACAGAGAACAGGCGGGAAATAAGAAATGGGGCGTGTGTGTCCATCAGCGTCAGGCTGGCGTTGTCGTCATCCTCGCTCGGCCTCGTGTTGACATTTTCGTGCATGTTCAACGTTCAAACGTGCAATGACACCGACACCGACACCGACACTGGCACCAACACACAAACAGGATGAATGGACGGGGGTCCGGACCCCGGTCTGAGTCCCGCGGAAGCGTCGTCTCCAAGGTATCAACACACACACAGACGCAGAGAGCAAGAGAGAGAGAGAGAGAGAGAGAGAGAGAAACGAAACAAACGTAAACGTGAAAATAGGACATGGAAAACAGAAAACAGAAAACACTCCTCATTAATGGCCACAAAGCATGCAAACAAAGTTTTTATAGTTCGATGGAGTCCAGGTGATGGCAGCCCCAGGGGAGGGGAGGGAGGGTAGGGTAGGGCAGGGCAGGGGAGGGGGCATGGCAACAGTTGATGGATTAGTTTCCATGGAGAAGGCCAATGTGTGTGAGTGTGTGAGTGTGACAACAGTCGAGGAGCATGTCAAGCGGAAGGATATCCACAATATGCTAATATACACATACATATGTAGATATATACGAATTATATAGATAATCACTAGCTGCCGACTGCAGCTTTCTTGCTCTTACAATAAATTGGAAAATCTTTATTGGGTGGACTTTTAAAGCCAGCTTCAAGTCTTCTTGACTTGTAAAAGCAAACCGAAAACTATCTGTCCATTGACTTTGCATTGCCCTCTGGCACTGGCACTGGCACTGGCACTCCTTTCTGTCTCTGTGTCTCCGTGTCTGCCACTCAACCACATTGATTTGAATGTCGAAAATAAAGTCAAATTACAACAGACACGCAGCATCGCAGCATCGCACATCGGGGGGCCACAAGCAGAGAGAGCCCCCCAATCAAGTTGCAGACAGACAGACAGACTGGACAGACTGGACAGACCGTTCCCCACTGCCACTCATTCCTGTGAAGCATCATTACAGTGTGTGTGTGTGTGTGTGTGTGTAAGTGTGTGGGGGAGGCGGAATGTCAAATGTCAGTTTGTATGGGCAAATAAAACTTCAATTGCAATTACAGCACATTAACAGCTTGTTAACAGTGCGGGGGAAATATTCTACATAAATGTACATACATACATATGCATACATAATTACATAATATGATAGAATATATGTATTCTACAGCAAAATCCAAAAATCTCAACTTAATTAATAATTTCAA